TGGACAAAAACATTATTATTTATGTGTGTTTGGTTAAGTTTATCAACATGTAACTTATTATTAAAGTATAATAATAATAAATGAATAAATAAAAAATAATAATTGGATAAAATAAATAGAAATATTAAAGAAGAGAGATAGCTCCATAAATACATTAATAACTATTTTTTTTGTTTGTGAAAAAGTTGTCCAACTTGGCAAATTGTGGATCCTTCAAGTGCTTATGTGGCAAAAGATTGATTTTGAATTGTCATAATATATACTAGTTTTGTACCCGCCCGATGGGCGGCGAGTTACATTTGTTTGTACCTTTACTTCTATTATATGTCATTTTTCCAATGATATCGGACTCCTAGTTTTCATATATATTTATTATTGTTATCTATTATCCGTGTTTCATCATATATGAGGGGCGCTTTGAATAAAAAAAAGGGTATAAGGGGCGCTACATTCATGATCAACAATAATGTCAAACCACGTTGTAACTTCATCACTGCTTGGAAAATAATATTCATACCATCTAATCTTTGAGTGACCTGCAATTTTCAACTTCATAAGTTGTACATGATTTAAGCTAGCGTACGCCACCTTACCGTACTCATTTCGAGTTTTGCTATTTAGACCATTAATTAACGGAGTTTGGGACATGATGCTATACCATAGTCTCTAATTTCGAGTTTTGTATAAATGATGGTTATGTGATGGTTTTCTATGGTGTTTTATACAATGATTTACCATTAGATGGTGTGATGTTTCGGTATGTTGGGACTGGGCTAAATGGTAATACCGATATGATGTGATACTTGATGCATACATGTTTATGCAGTGAGTTATCAAGAGGCTGAGTGATGGTCCTTATGTTTCTAATGTATGAATTATTTGAGTTTGAGATTATGAATGTGGTATGACATGTGGTGATGAATGGATGTTTATTTGACTAAATGAGATATAACATATCAGATGTATCTTGACAGTTAAGTTAAGCGAGTAAGGGCTGAGAGGTGGGTGACGGGAAACTGAATACTCCATATTTTGCCACGGTCACTGGAAGGGACAATAAGTCCTTTCGAGTTGTACTCTTAAAAGTAACAGAGAAGAAGTATATCATTATCTTATGAGTCGGGTTATCCGGCGAGTATAAATGGTCACTAAAAATAGAATAGTAATATGTGTATTAGCGTGTCACATTAAGTAAAGATTAAAATAGTTATTTACATCTCAACCCTTATATATATTAAGATTCATTTATAAATCTTTTTTAATTAAGATGCAAATCAACACTCTAGGAAAAAGAAAAGAATCAATGTCAAACAATGAAAAGAAAAAATTATAATTACATCAGGAAAAAAAGTAAAGACAATGTGTTTTATAATTGTGCATGGAATAAAATTCAATGACGTACGAAAATTTGAAAATAGAATGAAATTGGAATCGCATAAAAGAAAAGATAATGATATCATTTAATATGCGAGAAACGTAAAATCCATTCCCTAAAGATGAAAAGTACATATGTATATGTACATTATTTTTCTTGTAACTTCTTACCAATTGAGCACGGACATATTTAAGTCATAACCATAATTTGGTGTCGAAAAATATACAAAAAATTGGTGACCATTGGTGTCTGGTGATATTCATAAACACATGAAATTGTTATGTATCATTAAATTGAATTATGTTGATATATTTAATTAATCTTAAAATATAGGAATATCTCACATGAATAAGTTATTATGACTCTGGTTTTGACTTAGCAAACAATCATTTTTACTTCAGCTATTATCTCTTAATAATCTAGTAATCACACAAAAAATGTTATTTTTCTAGTACAACTACAACGCAATAAGAGTGTATTAGCTCATATATTTATAATAACTATTTTCTAACAAATTACAACATAATTGTATTGGTTCACATATTTATAGTAGTTCGTACAAAAAAATGTTAAATATTTCGTTTTAGAATACGAAAGAAGGTTATTCTTTGTTTTTTAGTTTTCCATTTTTAAAAAAACATAATTAAAATTATGTAAAAGTTAATAATTGGGTACCAACTAAATTTATGCTTTTGGATTTTTAATTATTTTTCAAAAAATTATAAATATTATCAAACATATTATAAAATAAAAATTAAATATGTTATTTTTAGTTGTTAATGATTTCTATCGTTTCTTATAAATAGAATACAAAATGTTAACAATGATAGTTAAATTAAAATAGGTTATTTTTAGTTGTTAATGGTTTCTATCGCTTCTTAAAAATAGAGTACAAAATTTTAACCTTGATAGTTTTTATTGTGTAATGTACATAAGTCAACCATTAAATAAAAATATAATATGTTTTGTATAATTTTTTATAAAATGAGTATTAATCTTGTTGTGATTAATTCCATAAAAGATATTTTTTTCTATTGACTAAACAACTTAAATGATTATAGTTTGAGCTCTTAGTTTGGATGATTAAATCTTAGAATAAAAATATAATATGTGTTGTATAATTTTTTATAAAATGAGTATTAATCTTGTTGTGATTAATTCCATAAAATATATTTTTTTCTATTGACTAAATAACTTAAATTATTATAGTTTGAGCTCCTAGTTTGGATGAATAAATCTTAGTTACGGTGACTGATATACATGTTTTGTTGTGATCAATGACATCAAATATACTTTATCCTACTGGTTAAATACTTGAAATGATAATAGTTTGAGCTTGGAGGTCATAGGTTCAAATATTGATCATGATTATTGATACACATGTTTTTTTAGTTTTATTTTAATGTAATTAATAACTTAAAATGTTAAAATCGTAAATGACATGGAAAATCGTGGAGCTTTCTTTGTCCTACGTGGCAAAAACTTTCTCCACAACGGCCATAATATATGTTAAGATAATAATAATATAATAAATTAAAGTAATATATTTTATATTTCAGTGGTAATTGAATGTCAAATGTTTATTTTCTTTCTTTTCATATATATTTTGTTTAATTGATAAAAACATAGTTTTTTTATGTGTAAAAAAGAGTAGAAAATTTTATTCCTAAGGTTTAATCAGATATTTTTTATTTAAACTAATGTAGTATATGTCACTCTCTGTTTTCTTATTTATATTTTGTTTACTGGACAAAAAAATTATTATTTATGTGTGTTTGGTTAATTTTATCAACATGTAACTTATTATTAAAGCAAAGAAAAAGAATAAATGAAAAGGAATAATTGAATAAAAGAAATGGAAATATTAAAGAAGAGAGAGGTAGCTACATAAATACATTAATAACTAATTTTTTTGTTTGTAAAAAAATTGTCCAACTTGACAAATTGTGGATCCTCTAAGTGCTTATGTGGCAATAGATTACTTTTGAATTGCCATAATATATAGTATAGATAGATAGATATAGATAGATAGATATAGATATAGATAGGGTATCCGTGTCACTAATAGGATATATTTGAAATTTTAAACCCCAAATTTAAAAACATATGTTTCCCTCCTCTTCTCTCGTAAGAAAATGAAAACAACAAATTTCCCTTATTTCTTTCCCCAAAAAGTTGAACACAAGACTCCCCCTTAATTCTATTTCCATAAATCCAAAGCACAAAAAAATTAGTAGTAGTTTGGATTGATTATGTGGGGTGTTATTTCACTTATTTGGTTGAAAAACAAGAGGGTGTGTTATTTGGATGTGGTATTTGCCAAATATCACATGTGTTGTTTCCAAATAATTGGAGGGGATCAAGTATTTGCCACGTATTTTGAACTTCCCTTTACAAAATGAAAAATATTATGTTAACCAGTAGGATAAAGTATATTGTGTTGTAATTTTTAAAAAATACATAATTTCAAGTGAATTTCATATTTTGAACTTCCCTTTACAAAATGAAAAATGGCATATTAACTATTAAGGTTTAGATACAAAAACTTTTATTTTGAAAGACTATATATATCAGATGGGTTCAAGTTAGTCGGGTTCGGTTCAATCGGGTTGCGAGTCAATCGGGTTACGGGTTCAATTGGGTTGTGGGTCAATAGATTTCGGGTTAATCGGTTTCAGGTTATTCGGGTTACAGGTTAATCAGGATGCGGGTCAATCGAGTTGCGAGTTAATCGGGTTGCAGGTCATTAACTTTTAGTCAATTCTTGTTGCGATGAGGTTGATCGGGCGGGTTAATTGGGACGGGTTCTATTTTGACATACTCATTTATTTGGGTTGTGTTGGGATTTTAATTCATGGATTTAGGTTTGTACCCATACCCATATACAAATTACAGTTTCGTACTTTAAACTTTATAGATATTTAGATTTAATACCTATTTTTTTTTGCATATAAGTCCTCGAGCATCAATGAAAAATTACATATTAGTACCTAAATTTTTTGTGTATAACATTTTGATACCTAAACTGTTTGAGTTTTACAAATGAGTCTAATTTTTATATGTGTAGTTAAAACACGCTCAAGTAAATGGGTATAACCCAACTCATGCTCATTTTAAGTATGTAAGCAATACTTATACCTTACCCAAACTCATCTACAAAACCCCTAACCCATATAGAATTCACACAAACCCTACCAATAATCAATGGGTCTATTTGGGTTTGGATAAAATTAACCATGGGTGGGTAATTGCCATTCTAGGTATGTTGAGCCAGCTATGTAATTTTCCTCGTTTAAAGCTTAATATTTTTAACGAACCGAGAAAATACCGAAAATGGAACGTTTCCATACTATAGCTTCAACAATTTGAATTGTCTATTTATGAAAAAGTTCCCTAAGATAGTATCATTGTTAGCAAAAATCCGATTAATACCCGTATACATACTAAATTAGTTTAAAACAGTCATTTTCGTACTATTGTGGAGACATCTAATTTTTTCCCGTTTGTTTGATGCTTTCCTTATTTAAACACGTGAGAAACCCATATAACATGTTAATACAAGTATCTGAAGAAAGTTAATTGATAATTTAATAATTTTTATATTTATATTCAATTTTATATTATAGTTCTATATTTTTATAATTTTATAATGGATGGCTAACTTTTAAACGTGTCGTATTTTACTAACCATGGAGAATATATATGTCTAGAAGACTTCTCCCCTGCCCTCTTTCGTGTGACCAACCTCTCTATTTACAAGCATGAAATTAGGCAATGAGAGACTGAGATCCCACCTGGAACTTGACCACCACCAAACCATGAGTTAATGACTCCCAATCTCAGAGAGGCGTAGTAGTAGAGATACTCTTGTGCATAGTCCTAATCACAGTGGTAAGCTGCTCAACTTGATCCTCACTACAGCAAGCAGCCATGAGAACTTTAGCAGTCCCACCATCGGGGCAACATCCAGCATCAATCATCTCCTCAAATATCTCCAAGCACTTCGTGTACATCTTCTTCCTCGAGTAAGCTCCTAGCCTGGAGGTCCAAGTAACAACATCCGGTTTCAATCCCAGCTCGGGGAGAGAACCGAACACACCTTCCATCCTTTCCAGCAACCCTGCCCTGCCGTATACGTTGATGAGGATGTTGTAGGTGCTGATGTCGGGTACTGCGTAAGCTCCCTTGTGATCCATTGCTTTTAGAGTTTGTTCCATCTTGTGGAACAGGCCTTGCTTTCCATAGAGGTTGATCATGCTGTTCAGCACAAATGTGTCTGGTTCTATCCCGGATTCTTGCATCTGGTTCACGATCTCCTCGCATTTGTCCACATTCCCGGCTCTCGAATAGGCGGATAGAAGCAGCATGTGGGACTTCATTGTTGGTGTCATCCCGAGTTGCTTCATGTCTTCAAACACAGCTTCTGCTTCTGCCAGATAGTGCAAAAAGGAAACACACACTTATTAGGGTCCATTTCCCATTCTTTGGTTATATTGGTTACATTAATGTTTTGGGTCTGCTATATGTTATGTTACCGGAATGAAGCCCGGATCTGCCATATGCATCAACCATGATGTTGAATGAAGCTCTATCTGGTTCACAACCCATGTGCTGCATCACTGAGAATATCTCTGCTGCTCCATAAGGGAAACCTGCGCGGCTGTTAGGATAAAGAAAAAGAGAAGGCTTTGCATTTAGTTAGTTAAGACTCTACAATTTTTTTACAACTGTAATGTAAGGAGGTAATTTATAGAGTATAGACAGCACGTTTAAATGTGATGAAAGCTAATGCGGAGGACCTGTAAGCCTCCATGAGGGCATTGTAGACGTAAACGTCGGGTTCGAAGCCATCTGCTTGAAGCTGCTCGAATATCTCCTCTGCCTTGTCGCATTGCCCTTCCCTTGCAAAAGCATTGATGAGAGCGGTGAATGTGCAGATGTTTGGTTTGCAGCTCTGGCTTCTCATTTCGTTGAACAACTTCAATGCCATGTAAGCACGCCTAGCCTGCCCATTATTATTATTATTATTATTATGTTAAAAAAGAAGAAGAGATTTCAGGAAAAGACTACCACCAGGCAAAATGAAGCTACAACGTACAGAAATTGTTACAAGTAATAGCAGTAACCTGTAAACAAACAAGTTGGAGAGTGAAGTTACTGCGCAGTCACCTTGCCATATAAGTTGATCAACAAAGTGTAGGTCTCAGCGGAAGGTTGGCAGTTGTCTCTCTTCATTCTTTGAAAGATCTCCACTGCTTTGTCCGGGTTTCCTGCCTTCATTAGCCCATCGATGTAAGCGTTGTACACGATTGCACCTGGTCAAAACAGTTGGAAACGTGTTCATCATACAATACAATACAATACAATTCAATTGCAACACCACCGCTTGTTTGCTTGCTTGCTTTCGTGGCCTAAAAAGAAAAAGAAAAAAAAGAAAAGTCTGGTGCCGTCAATGGACGTAACGTACTGGGTGGAAGGCCATACTTGTTCATCTCAGCAACGACCGCTTCAGCTTGCTCCGTTAGGCGAGCAGTGCAGTATGCCTTGATAAGAAGTGCGTAAGTATGTTCGGTAGGCACGCATTTAGCACGAAGAAGCTCAAAGTAAACGGATTCGGCCTTGTTGTGTTGTGATTGCCGCCCATACGCTTCAATGAGCAAGTTGTAGCAGATCACATCCGCCTTGAATGAGCTCCTGTACAACATCCATTGGCATATCTAAATTCCCACAAGCTTCAATCAGCCACCATTTTCCAATTGGGAAAGGAAACACGGACAAGACAAAGCGCAGAAATTGAACTTAAATCTTTTACCATGACAATTGGATCCCATTTTTGGTTGAGACGAAGCTGGACGAGCACATTGACGAGGTCGTCGAATGTGTCGTGAGAGGCACGCAGATTATGGAGAATTGTCCAGATGGTGTTCTCGTCCACTCCTTCTTCGCCCTGCACCAGTTCAAGAATCTGCTGACCACTTGGAGTCATCACTGGGAAGATTCCGTCCACGAATCCGGATCCGTACTTCCATCCCGATCCCCTCAAAGAACCACCTGCCATTTTCCGCGAGGATGAGTGACGATGAAACAGATTTTGATGGGAGAAATGGATGCCATTATTATTACATCTTTTCCGGGAGATCTTTTTGGCTGTGAAGCTTCGCCATCTCCCGCTCTTGTCAAGATGAAGCGTCTCGGCGCGTCTGGGCCTCTGGTCGACACCGTTTCCAGCGCCATTGTTACCACTACCAGCTGATTTCTTGGCTCTGCATCTGAAATTGGAGTAGGTGGAGGAGGTTATTGGCTGCTGCTGCATGGTGAATGAATACTTGAGGCTGCTTTCAACCTGCACCAAGATTCAGTGCCAGCAATTACTCAACAACATAATTTTAAGCTACGCACCAAGAAGAAGAAGAAGAAGAAGAAGAAGAAGAAGAAGTAGATGCGGTTGGTGCAAAGTTAAGAATCAATCGGGTACGAACATTGGAGTGCATTGAAGAAAGCATCAACGTAACATGAGAATTGAGAATCTTTTGGTGGATGAACATTACTGTTCAGGAACTTATGGTGTGAAAGAGAGAGTGAAGTCTTTTCATTTCTCCAAATTCTGATTTCTGAAGATAACGTGCCGTTAGCAAAGGCTATGAGAGAGAGATACAATCCCGCCACCAGACAAATTCCTTTTTTTTTATATAACAAATTCCCTTTCTTTAATGCTCCCTATTTCAGTTGCCGTTCTTTTGATTTGTTACTGTGGGATCGTTTCTTACCTGATTGACTCGTTTCCACTAAAGCAAATCTTCGTCCTTGCTCTGCCACAGTCAATTATTACACCGCCTCGTCAAAATTGATAATGAAAGCGAGCCAATTTGTCGATTACATCCACTCAATTCTCGCAGATTCATCTCCAGCTTCGTAAGTCTCCTTGATTTGTGATTACCTCTTCTTGCTCATAAACTTGAGCACCACATATATCCATCTGTTGAAAGTACGAAAGTGTTATCTAATCCGTTCCATCCCTTTCCCTTCTCTACTGTCTAGCTAGATCGATGAGATTCGCCGACCTATAATCTATAGGGATCGAGTAATCTTCTGGTATCATACGTTAAGATCTCTTCCATCAGCATATTCCCCAACCTATTTTAGTTCATTTTGCATATAGAGTGTTGCTGGCAGTGCTCGAAGATAGTGTGTTAGTGGTGAAGGTGGAAATCAGTTGAGCTGCTGAACAATGATTTGGAACAGCGAAGCTCCATGACAAGGTGAGTAATGGGAGTCTACTTGTCTGCCTAAGTTGATTTCGAGGAGGTGCTCTCGTGGAGGCAGGTGGAGTAGAATCCAATGATAATAATGACGGAGGATTAATGGCTACAGGTAAGATATATATGAGGCTCTAATATCGTATTTCTCTTAACTCCCAAGAGCTGCTCTGACAGTGTATCTTATTTCTCTATGCACTCTTAACTCTTACAGATTAATACATCATCATGAAGTCATGTTACAAGCAGGTAAGAAATCTATAACATTATCTCATTCCCAGTAATTGCTTCCTACCCTTGTCTAGCCACAATTGCAGGACCGTCTTGTTTCTTAAGACAAAATATGTGGTGAATTCTTAATTCCTTTGCTTTTAGGCATTAAGAATGCATGGAATACAAGTGGATATCCGGTTCGATGAATTCCAAAACACTTCTTCTAGGACCTCATTGTGATCACTTAATCTTTTTTTCTTAGCTTGAATTTTTCCATGACAAACTATGAAATGGTTCGCTTGATCAATGTATCTATTCATGTATTGGGTTCATTCGTGAGCTTTCAAGTATTCAATTTGACCTACTTTTATCATCCACTTGATATCCTATCGTAATTGGTTCCATTGTGTTTATTTGCATCTACAGATTTGATTGGATTTCTTGATAAAACATCCTTGGTCGCCACCATTTGTCTAATTCATTACATGATGTAACGAGCCAACCTCAGTAGTTATTTGAGTCACAAACCACTCATGATCCAATTATTGAAACCGGCTATAAAAATGAACTACTTCCGAACCTAGTTAATTTTATAGGAATTATTTTGTACTTCTAGTTCAGGTCCTCTATTTACTTATGAGATTGTTAAACTATATAGAATGCAATGTTCTGTAGATTTCGAAAATTGGTTATAGGACCAATGGCCATGTCACCGACACTCAGCAACCATTTGGAGTGTTTGGACTCTGGTCATCCTTGATGAGTTCGTTTGGGAACATTGAAATTATACGTGTAGTTAATTTCACCTTCTTCTCAAGTTAACATTTTTTAGATAAATAGAATGTCCTATCTGTTGCCTTCTTAATATCTGAAGTTAGATCTGAATCATTCTCATTTCTATTCATTGAGGCTAGTGCTTAGTTCTCATTGCTAGAAGTGGAAAAATATGATTGGTTAGCTTCTTTACAGGCTAGCTAGTAGCATGATTGGTTGATCAAGTATTTTATACATGGAGGTTAATGTATGAAGGAGGCTAAGGGAGCATTCAAGGCCCAGATTGAAAAGCTTCAAAAAGAGATGAGTTTCAAAGGATGGCTATTGGAAATCAGGTTAGGACTTCAGTCACACTTTATTGCTGCCATATCTTTTTGATTTACTGCAGGGAAATTACAGATTTTGAGTAACAACTGTTGTTTGGTTGAAACTCTGATTTACAGCATTTGAAGACTCAACAAGTACATGTAATAAAAAAGAGATAAAAGGAGTACATAAAGCTACAAGTTGGTTCTTGTTCTTTAAAAAGGTATTCTAAGTAAGAGTTGCTAGACTTGCAGCAGGTTTGCGTGCAATCTTGCTTTGTTTGAAGGATTAGCTCTATTTATGTATTTATTTCTTTGACTTTATTAGGTTATGCACAAATACAAGCTGCAAACTGGTCATTTGAGAGAGTAGATTGGACGTGCAGCAAGGACTTCAGAGTCCCTCAAGAATGCTTCAACATCCTATAGAAAAACTTGCAAGTAGTTAATTGTTGTTTTTTGATATTATGAATTTTGAATAAATTTATTTATTATGTATGGTTGTAGATGTTAGCTACTTGGATGAACCAGATTCAATATTCAATGGTAATTTATTATAAAACTCCTCAGATGAGTTATCTTTTACACTAATTGGTTGCAAATTTGTAGTACATATGAACTGTAGCAGGTAATATAAGCATAAGAAATGGTGAGAAATTAACATTTTAGTGACGCAATTTTGTCATCGCAAAATCCATCGGCGACGAAATGAAGCATCGCTACTAGTTTTTTGTGTTACGGTAGAGCGTTTCTGCGATGAAAATTTTCGTCGCAAAAAGATAATTTTTTGCGACGACGTTAAGGTCGTCGCGGAATAACACATTCTGCGACAAATCGACTCGTCGCAAAAGCTTCACCCTTCAGCGAGGACCTGTACTTTTAGCGACGGATGCATTATATTCGTTAGATTGATTCAACAACATTGTGGTATCACTATCCAATCCCTTGGCAAAGTACTTGGCTATTGTTCTCGTGTGAATCCATGGAGGGAGCAATGCCTTGATATGTCCTTGAAATCTTTCCACACATCATGGAATGTCTCTCATCTTTCTATTGAAATTGGATATTCCTTATCTAGTTTTTCAGTTTTCCATGTTGGAAAGAATATTCTATCAGAACTTGTGATAAATCTAACCATGTGGTGAATGTTTGGTGGATGGTAATCCAACGTGTTTTGCTTTTTCAGTAAATGAGAAAGGAAACACTCTTAGTTGGATAGCATCTCGAGTGGCTACATTTCTAGAAATTGAATCAACGTTCTCTAAGAAAATCTTCAAATTTTGCACAAGATCATCGTCATTTCTTCCAGCAAATCCTTCAGATTGTTGAACCATTTTCATACTAATGTTCAAATGCAACATTCGTTGGGATGAACTATTCAATTCGCTCCATCCATCTTTGAAGATGATTTCATGGATCCTTTGTTCTTCTATATCAAAACTATAAACTTAGTAAATTCCTTTCTCCCAAAAAGAGTGTAACTCGAATTGGTGTTCCTTTAAGTATCCTCTAGCTCTTCACTTAACCCAAATGTTCTTTCTTTTGATCTCAACAAAGCTAAACTCGAGTTTCTTCGTTCATCGATTATCCGCTACACGATCTTTTGATTTTATATTTCTTTTCTAGGTTGAACTGAGATCATAAAAGAAAAATTATACAATAATGATCTAATTGGAAATAAAAAAACATAATATGGTTAGTTACTTTCAAGTACTATTAAAATTCTCTAGCAATGGTGCAAAAAACTTGGTGTAATTGTAGTATATTGCAAAGTAATTATCCTAGATTTTGTCTATGATTGTATTCCACCAGTCTTTTAATAGCAAATCCTTTGTAACTAATCACTTATGTTCGAAAAAAATTATAAATGCGATGGTTGAGGTTCCTTTATTTCAACTTCAAGTAAACAAGAAAAACAATTAGATAAACGGGTAAAGCAAAGATAAAACATATAAGATAAACTATTGTTTAGGTAACTTCATCTAGATGATCATGCATACCAATTCATTAATGATAATGCATTCAGAAATTCCTTCTACTATGATAACCCATCTCTGCCACTAATATATTCCTAATCAATATTCGCCACATGGAAAAAAATTAAGAGTAGATAATACACCCTTTCGCGTCATGCCAATAACTAATCAATCATGAACAATGGAATCATAGATGACTTGCTAGTTAAGGCCTATACGAACACCACAACAATGGTCCTTGGCTTTGATGATCTATTTCTAGGGCGAGTTCTCAACAACCTAGATCAAGCATCAAGGTGCATATACATACATGAGTAATTGTGTCCAATCAAATCATCATGCATAAGTCAATAGCATACCACGCTAGAGCAAGTCGTAGCAAGTTCATAAGCATATACATACATGAGTAATTACGTCCAATAAAATCATACATGCACAAAACCAAAATAACATATAATAGAAGATATACTTTATAAGTATAAGCATATCATTAAATCATTGAAAGTAATGCATAAAGTATAATATAATTCACTTCCTAAACAATAGGAACTTTTGCTAGCCATAGAAGATAGGGATTATATCACCATCGATAAAGAAGGTATCCCATCGAAACTCCGGCAAAACTTCGTCTCTCCAATGGATGCTAAAGATCGAGTGTGTAAGAGTCACTTTTAGATATATGAGTAAAAACTGATAAAACTTCATAACGTGTAAGGTTTCTGAGAACTATACAGCTCTCTCTGAGATTTCACAACTTGCTCTCAACTCTAGCTTAGTTGCACGAGATTATTTGCTTTAGTGGGCGGAAGTACTTACAAGTTTGAACAGTGAGATTTCTGAATCATATAAGAGCTTTGGTATGCATGAAATTTGGTATTACCTTTTGCTATGCTCTTATGTGTCCATTATTTCCTACTTTGATAGTTAGGATTAGTAGCTTTGCTGGGCAATTGGGAAATGAATAGATGGCTTTTGTAGTTTGAAATTGGTAAGCAAGTTTAACACTTAGCTAATATCTCTTGTTTAGTGTTGATGAATGGATTGCAAAGTTCTAGTTTTCCCATAAAATGTATGTTTAGGAGGGCCTTAG